CGATTTTGCTGTAGCCTTTAAGGCGCTTTTCCAAGGACTTGGTCAACTATTGGCCCTCTCTGTTGTCCTGGCTAGCCTCAGTTGGCTGCCAAGTTATAGCCCACATTACCCGGTTGCCATCCCAAGTCCCTTTTTCGTTCAGTCTGGGGGATTATTGGCCAGTTTATGCAACTGCCTGCCTTCACTGGAACGAACTGACAGTTTGCCTTAGGGCGCTATCTATCGATATGCATGCCCATGGCCCAAACTATCCTGTGGTCAAATTTGTCTTCAGACTGCGGACAAAGTTTTACATGCCTTTCGAATTTAATATGGTAATTATTTTTTTCCTCAAGCAGTGTGAGGTCAAACACTTTGAAATCGATCGACTTAAGAACAATTTATAATTGGCTGACATTAAACTTAAAACATGTGCTATCTTCTAGTTCTTTTTTGTGAAACTACTAATCTTTAACTTTACTCCTGGCTGATTGAATGAATGGAAATATTTACATCAACATTCCGCAGATGCATGGAAATTCTCTAATGTGCCTTTCCCATTGTCCTAAGCCTTTGTTCTTGCACAAAGGACATGGGTCCAGGTGGATGCAAATGTGGGTAGGTGGAAAGCTTTTCCGTTGTAATTGGTGTTATTACAGCTGTTTGCTTGTTTATGCTCGTAGGACTCTGATGTTGCTGCAGTTTGTTGCCTTTAAGCTAAAGACTTAATGCGCTTAACAGGGCCAACACAGTGCAGCCTGAAGTGCTTTTACATACATATTTTCAGAAAAACATAAATATGGAAAATATAATTCGTATTCTGGTTTTTCGCAAAAAAAAAAAAAACAACGGAAATAAAAAAATCATTATACAGGTCAGCAATATTTCTATTTTAAAAGGAATACGCCCTTCGGCAGTCTGAAAACGTAATAAATAGTAAAATTTCAAATTAAAGTTGACCAATTATAAGAATCAATAGAAAATCATGTTACTCTTGGGATCCTACAATAGACGTTCCGCGACATTAGCCACTTAGTTCCTTTTGTTAGACAGGTTCCAACTTCTTTCAACTTTTTACATTAGAATTTCTTTTTATTTTGTTGCAATTTTCTAACCTAATGGGATGCACGTCATGGTCTTAGCTGACATCTCTGAGCGTACCAAAAACCGAAAAAAATCTCTGGCGAAACTTTTCCTGCAACTTGGGCGTGTTGGGCGGCGACCTCAGACATGCTTGGCCTTGGTGCTTTACAGCAAGAAAATAAAGAAACCGCACGAAAGGTTGTCAAATAAAATCCGGCAAAACTGCAATAAATCACGTAGCAGTGAAATCATTTTATCAGCCCAAAGCCCTTTAAAAAATAAGCAAAAATAAAGACATATTCATTTATCAGATTGAAAAACAGAGGGAAATCTATTCTGTAAGGAATATGAAAATAATAATTTGAAAAGTGTGTAATGTGAAAATAACTTACCTTTCAAAAGATCCCTTTTTTTACATTAAATTGTTTTAAATATGTAAAATTATAATTTAATAACTCCGAATAAGGAGTACCTCATCTCATTGTCCCTTCCATATTTGTTTATTTTCCATTTTCGCTTAACTTGAGGCGATTTATAATTAATTTAACGCTCTTCCCATTGAGCATTAACAGCAAATATCTTAAACTTGCCAAATTGGTATATAAGTAATAATTACATTACGTTTTGAAAAAAAATCGTAAATAATGTAATAAAATTTGCAGTAAACAGAAACTAACTAACTTCAAAATATTATAATGGATAATAAATATAGTTAAACTGACTAACATTGAATGAATGTCAGAAGATACTTCATTACCTTTTAATTACAAAACTTAAAATGTATGCGATGACTCCACACTGCCTATATTTAGAAGACGTATTACTCATCACTTAACAGCCAAAAGATTTAACTTTGCCGACTTCCCCTTCTTCAATGACCTCAGCATCATCCATCAATATTGAGCACAAAACAGTGCTGGAATGGCAAAGACGGTCTAATTTCATTGAATGCTGCTTTCAGGCATTATTGCCCGCTTTCCACCCACACAGGATAAAGCTGCTTAAGCCTATCAATCAAAAACTAGCAGATAAAGCCAATAACGCTGACCAAATCCTTTGGATGTTCGACTCGAGAGCCATTTAAGCGGCTATTTTTTTTCTTTTGCTACTGCAACCAAATTGAATTATCATTTTCCACCGCATCGCCTAGTAGTGTGGGTCACGCAGTTTTTAAAAATGAATAACTCTGAGTGGGATTGGCCAGAATCTCTCTCAAATGGGTTGTTAGCTTCGACTGTCACGATGCTTTTGTAGTCATCTCCCTGTGGTCTCTTATCTCCATCTCCAGTGAAGCGCATTAAAGGCTCGTTTGTCCTGGCGATGGCGACATGGATCGATGAGGCAAAGGGAGAATTTGGGTTAATGGAATAAAAGTGAGACAAACGAAAAACGCTTTTCCCACCCCCCTTTGCTACTAGCTGGATTATAATTTTCAGTTGGAACCAGTTTTTCCGTAATAGCTCTATATTGGGATTTGCTTTTAGTGGCGGCCAACTTGGCAAATGTATCTGAGAAAATCAAAGCATCAAACCGAGAGAAAAAGAAACATTGAAAAGAAAAGTTTATTTTTCTTTGCCTGGAAAAGTCGGGCACAGCCAGTCACCGTGTTTTCTTGTTGTTTACTTCATCTTTATGCTGGCCTTTTCTTTGGTCAAGCTCATTTTGCCATATTCAATTTTCAGCAAACACTCCTCCCCTCTCCTCCTGACAACGACTAGCGAAAGTAGTTTCCAGCTGGTTTTTCTACTTCCTCGATTTTTTTTTTCATTTTATTTTCTATTTATTTGTGCCAGTTGTGCAGCAGCTGAGAAGCTGAGAGGGAGGGAATCGATGGGAAATAAAAAGAGCGGGCCGGAAAAACCGGAAAGCAGCAACAGGCGAAATGTAAGTCAAGGTGTCACAGATTGGGATAAATTCAAAATTTCAAATTGTTGTCATGCTGCGATTGCAAATCGTACTATTATACTTTTAAATATTGATATTCGCAACCTTACTCAATCTATACATTTTATTGGGAAAATACAAAACTACTCACCAACTTGTGTTCTCTATACTAAAATTTCCGAATTAAATACTATTTAATTACCTCAATTAAAAATACAAGATTAAATTAAACAATTGGATAATTGCTATTGAAATGTCAAGCTGATGCTTAAGCTTACGTTACGTACTTTTCATTGTTCATTTCGTTTTCATGGCATCTAATTCCTCACTTTCTTTAGATTCGGAGGAAAATCTATTGATGCCACCTCTCGCTCATTTTCCAAGCAATTCTTTTCCCCTTCGGGTTTTTAGCTTTGTTTAATCAGTTGCTGAGAGAGCTTTCCGCATTGTTGAACCACAGGGACTGACGCTGGGTAAACCTTTGTACCGTTTTGTGGGTCAACTACTAAAATGACCCCTTTGGCCAAGGGCTCCCTTACATTTTCCCATTGCAGGTCGTTCGTTCCCTTTTATTCTGGCTTGATTCATCATGACGTTTGCACAAAAAAAGAACGTAAAAAATCGTTGTTTAATGTTTGCTTGAACATTCAGTTTAATTACCCATCCCCAGCCCCTGCCCTTATAATGCTCGCTTTTTAGAACCTTTACAATTTATTTCGTGTTGAGGATTTTTTTTTCCTGATACTCTCTGTGGCTCTGTGTAATTTTCCCGACAGTCGTTTTGAAGTTGAAACCCGCATCCTGTCAGTTCGTTTTTATGTTCCTCTTATTATTTTATATTATTTTTCTCGTTGGCAAGTTTTTAATTAATTTAATACCAAATCAAAAGTGACTTAGTAGAGGAGAGGCATTCTGTAAGCTTTCAAAATTTATTATTCAAAATTTCTCTAGGTTTTAATCAAGATTATTTAATAATATACATTTTTACAATTAATGTTTTTCATTGTTAATTGGTTTTACATAATTTACTTACGTACTGAAGAAAGAGTGTGTCTAGAATGCCCTGCTTTTTGGTGACCACAGCCATCCATGGGCTCTACACACTCTAGTTGGCAACACACTCCATTAGGTAAGCAGACGGGCTTGATGGCTATGGCTCTTAGCCCTAACTGGCAGACGAAAATTCTCTCTTAAGTAATGCAGTTATGCGTACATCTGTGTGCGTTTGTAAGTGCATTAAAAATGTTGTGCAAGTTTCAGCTGGTACGTGGGATAAAAACGGGGGGAACTGTGGGGTATGGAACGGCATTTTGTCGACGACCCCAAGTGTCGTCTTGCATGCCATTTCCCTGTCGTCCTTTCTCGCTTTCCATTTTTCCAGTCCATCTGCCAAAATAAATATGTTTGTGGCAGTCGTCGTCGTAGAGCAATCCTGCCACGCCCACACAAGTGCCACTTGCCATCAGTTAGGCAGTTGTTGGTGGCTGTGGCATGTGCAAAAACGACTTTTAGCCATCAGGGCCACTGCAACAGTAAATGCATTACGGAAAACTGCAGCAGCAACCATTGCCCTCATACCAGAGCCAGCCCTTGCATAAATGCAATCAAACGTTAAAAGTATTAAGAGAAGGTAGTGACCGAGCGTTGACAAGGAAATGAAAGTACTCGGAGGACTTTGAGGCCAGTCCTGCTGCCAGCTGCTCCTGAGGTGGCCATAAACACATCGAAGAAGGTCTGGGATCTGGTCTGGTGTCGGGCCCGATGTTGTGTTTCAATTTCCGGTTTTCAATTTAATTTCAATTGCGGTTATCAAATTGTTTCTCGGTTTTCTGTATGCAATCGATTTTTAAGATATAACAAGCAAGCTGCAAGCAAACTTTTCGAAACATTTCTTGTTAGATATTTTATATTTAACTAATAGTGCAGTTAAACTGCATTTTCTTTGATTTTATGGAAATCTTTGTAGAGAACATTAAGAACACTGCAATCTTTATAATATTGATTTTTTTACTTAATTGCTTACTAACTTATGGTATTTTCATCTATCATTACAGGTCATGAGCGACTAAACGAATACATATCTCACTATGAAACACTCAACTATGATCAAGAGCACATCCGAGCTAGTCACAATAGAGCGCGACGATCAGTGACCAAAGATCATTATGTACATTTAAAGTTTGCATCACATGGAAGAGACTTCCATCTTAGATTAAAACGTGATTTAAATACATTTAGCAATAAGTTAGACGTGAGTATAGTACTTAAATTATAATTTTAAATCACATTATAATGTACTTTGTACTTTTCAGTTTTATGATAGCAAAGGTCCCATTGATGTCTCCACGGATCATATCTATGAGGGCGAAGTGATAGGGGATCGTAATAGTTATGTATTTGGTTCCATACACAATGGGGTATTTGAGGGTAAAATTATAACGGAACGTGATGCCTATTATGTTGAACATGCCAAACATTATTTCCCAACAAATCGCACGGCGACAACACCACCAACTCCGACAGCATCCTCGACAGCAGCAAAAAGCACACAACCCACGCGGCCTTTGGCCCGTAGCAGCAACAACAACAACAACAATAATATAACTGCCGTTGATAGTAAGACAGAAAACTTCATAAAGAAAATTGCTGAATCCACAACGACGACGTCGACCCAGCAACAGCTCCCAGAGCATTCCGAATCCTCGTCGTCGACAACAACATTCCCACCACCATCACCCACATCGAAGGATTCCGATTCCGAGGAGGAGAAGGAGCATAATGCCGAGGACGAACTTGATTTTCACTCCATTATCTACAAGGAGTCACATGTCGAGGATGCCTACGAAAATGTGCGCGAAGGTAAGTCGAAATAAGTTCCTTATTTCCTTCCCACTCCTCATCAACTTTTCCACTTTTCAAAGTAACTTGCCGATGCAGAAATGAAAAATACTCTCGCTCTCTCCCAGCATTGTTAAATGTGATTTATTTGGCGGCTGGCATTTTTGGAAGTTCCCGACTTTATTTTCAACTCATGGAGGACAACACAAGTCAGCCTTGAAATTGTTTGATAACATTTCGTTTCTGTTTTGACACCTGAGTTATGACAGTCGCGAGTGCCTGCTAATCATTTCTGTTGTTCTCATCTCTCTGCACTTGGCTGTCAGTTTGTCAACTGACATACACTTTCGTGGGCGGTTCTGAGAAGAAAAGTGGGTTGGGTTCAGAAGTTGTTGAGCTTAACAACTTGTTTATCGGAGCGGTGAAAAATCTGGCTCTAGAGCTTAGCTAATGTCACGCTAGAAGCTTTGCTTAATACGCTTTAAAAAGCAGAAAAGTGAATGGAAAGTATTTTTACTAAAGATTTTCCTCACGTGTTAACAGCTTATACCTCTTGTCCATTAGGTTGCTTATCAATTTTTGTTTACTGAAAAACTTTCTACTTTAAAGAGTCGTTTAATTTTTATTTTCTTATTTTAAATTCGATAGATTCAGTTGTTGAAAAAAAAACTTTTTTACTCGTTTAATATAAAATTGTGCATTTCAAGACAAGCTCTAATTGAAAGACAAAGTTCCACGAGTTCTGGTAAAAATGTTTTTCCTGCCCAATTAGAATATGTCGACTGAAACTGAAACGAAAACTGAGCACACCACAGCAGTTTTTCCCCGCCAATGGCAATGGAAAACTTTGATCCGTCAGCTGTGCCGACAAAAGAAGAGACAGAAAAACTTTCATTCCGTTGAAAACGGGCAACGTAGCAGCGTGTTTTTCATGCTTTATGCAAAAAGGCAACTTCCAGAGACTTCATTTTAAAAGCCAGCCACGCATGAAGCTTCCATATAAAGCGAAGAATATAAGAGAAATATTCTCTCCCCCGGTTCAATGGTCAATTTTTTATTCAACTCGTCGGCAACAATGGTGCAACCAAAGAAGGTGTGCCTCCCTAGACTCACACACACACACACGTAATATTGCTGCAACAATGACACTGACAATGAAAAGTTGCAACTGCAAAACTGAAAAAAAACGAGAAGTGCGGATGCATCTCCGTTGTTATTGTGCAGGCAGCACCAACTATGACGACATCAGGTTCCAGCCCGACGATTGCTTTACACATATGCACCGCGAGAAAGGGTTGAAACTTTCATAACTGAAACTTGAAATGAAATATTCATCCATGTAACGTTTCTAAAGAAGAATTTAAAAAAGAATACGGAATATTACTCTTTCGAGTTATAATACTACTAATATATCCAAACTTTAATCATCCAATCCTAAACCCAGATTGAAAATAAATACTAACCGATCAAGCAATCCTCATTTATTTTGTATGCAAATAAATCTCAAATCGATTTTCGTATTGTGTACACACATTTTCCCATAGCCATGGCTATAACAATGGGCGTCTGCCACGCCCATATAAAGTTGTCGCTGGTAGTGCCGTGTTGTTGCAACAAAAGGAAGTAGAATCTAATGCATAGCTAAACAACTGAAATGGGAGCAACAACGGTGGGTATTTTGTTGAGTACACGGGGGGGCGCTTTGTTGGCCAACTATTTTTTTTTTTTTTTTGACAATCTACACCCCATTGTTGTTGCTGGCAAAAATTGTATGCAATTTGGCATTCCCACAGAAAAAAAAAGCAAAAAACATACACACGTGCGCGCACAACATGCACATGCACCAAGAGAATCATCAACAACACTTGACAAAACTATTGTCAGGGGCGCATTTAGTTTATCTGTGCGTTTTTCGGGGGCGTGGCGTAATCACTTTAATGAGCTCACACAGTAGCCATGCCCACCTGTCAGTTTATATAGAGCAGAGTGGCGTTGTCTCTGTTGTTACCATCGCACATTTTGATTGATGTAAAGTAGGAATAGCAAATAAAACAACGAAATTGACATTCAATTTATTAATGCGATTCGTTTCGTTCGGGTAAGGACATTGAGGACTATTAATTGGTTTGCATTTAGAATTCCCAGTAGTTATTTCTTGACAATTAAGCTAATTAAAAGAGTCTCTCCATCAATTTAAAGTGGATTTCGATTAGTATATTAAAGCAAGCACGACAGCAAGTACATAGAATATGTAAGTTTAGGTAAATCTTTTTGCAAATTTAATAAATTAGTTAGTTTATATTAAATTCTTGTCAATAATAAGATTATCTTCTAGATATTTTATTTCCTTTAAAGCAAAAATTCAAGTTGTTATTCACAAACTAAACTAAATTGCTCAGACATTTGAGTGACTCAGCTCCCATTCGCCACTTTTAAATGGCACAATTAAATGTTCGCAGTTGCCATGACAAGCGTGGAAAGTAAAACAGCAGTGTCAAAGGTTTTCATATGGCTGTCATTGGTCACTTAGCCATGGGGGGAGCATTACATAAACTTTAATTTGTGAAAAGTGCAAACTGCTCTCCTTTGCCACTCTTCGTTCTTTTACTCATTTTCTATTTATGACTTTTTGCCACCCCAAGTTCGTAGTTAGTCACATTTTTTCGCTTGGGGTTTTCCCCTTTTGGTTTTTCCTCTGGCTGTCCAAGTTTATTAGCTTCGGTAAGAACGCAACTATGTCGCGAGGTGTTTATGCTTCTGAAGTTATCAGGAGTTTCAGTGCCCCTACTGCCCAAAAACCCCACACTCTCGGCCAACACCACCACACACACACTTTTAATGCCATTTTAGCAGCATATTAACTTTTGTAGTGGAAATGAGCAGTCGTCGACGGACCCTAGATTACATTGTTGGTGTGTACACACTCATTCATCCATTTTAGGGGGTGGCGGTAGCGCCAAGGGGTGCGTTAAGTGCGTGTTAAAACCGACCAAGCGGCGCACGCACATTGCTTATCCGCCCCTACATCCCATCCGATACTCGAACCCCTTCCTCCCTGCTAACCCATTTATGGCTCCTAGTACACTCCTCCGCACTTGCAAGCGGCCAAGTAACGAAGCGTGATCCTGGAGACCCCCAGAAGCAGCCAAGGGGTTAACATACGCCGCAACACAAGTACTCAATTACACTGGAAAGAAATTATGAATTTGTTTTAGAAATTAGCCTTACACGTAAATAACTATAACGTTAAGGTTTCTGGTCACGATTCCCCTTTATAAATGCATTCTACAAGTGATGATCTCTAATAATAAGGGAAATTAATGTGAAATAAATATATTTTTTTCAGTGCACGCAAGTGCAATGTGTTCTTGAATGCTGCCTTAGCTGCTGTTGCTTGCCTGGAAATCACAATTTATACACAATGTTGTAATATAATTTTTGCACAGCAAAACAGAAAGCAACTCAAGTGGCACATTGTTTGCTGGCGTCACTGTTGCTCCTTATATATATAGTACTCCTCGCCGGGATTCACCCCCTTCTACACCACTCCACGGCACTTCGGTCCCCTCTCGTTTTCCGGTTATCCTTCGGGCCCTCGAGTGCATTGACCATGCCTGTGGGAACTTTATGTGCAGTAGCTGCAAGTGCCATAAATGCAATGCGGCTCACATTTATTTACGACTATTTGATTGCACTTGCTATAACACTATGCAAATTTATAGAAAAATGCCTCTCGCACAACAGCTGCCGCGCTCTCGACTCATTCCTTTTTTTTAAGTTCCAGTCCAGTCCCTATTAACTTTGCTGAACTGTGAACTCATTGGCGCATAAATGTCATTGACACGCAGATGTTTTAAACTCAATTAATTTTGAATAGCAAAAAATGGGTTGAAACAAATAAGAGTAATTGTTGCGGCGGTTTGTACTTTAAATAAATTGGTATTTTCTGATTATTTAGTTTGGTGCTTAACGAGCTGTGCCTTTCCTTTTTTATTTTTGTTTACTGATCCATCGTTAATAATGTGAAATTTAAGTTTAAAATCGAATTTACTATACATATAAAATTGATAACAAATAAACATAAAAATATTCTCTTCAATTTGAAGTAATTCTGGGAAACATACTTCCAACGAAAACTGGCGTCATCGCCAGAGTAATTGATTTAAATTTTCTCCACTGCCGTGCTCTGCTCTCGTTGGTATCATGTTATGAATATGTATCAGTCAACGATGCATGAAATAAGCAGCCAAAAATACATAAATACAGGATTTACGCCGCGTTTCGATAACGATGATGCCGCGGGGCAATGTTGACGTTGGCATAACATACAATAATTTCCGGTATTTGATAGCAGCAGCAGCAGCAGCAGCAGCAACAGTAACAGCAACAACAGCTAAAAGTGGAAGGAGTCGCTTTATTCAGGAGCGTGGAGTTTTGCAATTGTAAACAAACAAATTTCATGCTAGGTTGCACAAGAAAGTTCATCCGCTTGCCGTTACACTCCCCATAGTTCTTTTGATAAGGGAACGATGGATAAAACTCACAAAAAAGTGCTGCCCAAATTGACATGCGACAGTCATGGCCGGAAGTAATTTTTTGTTCTTCGCTTTCTATATTTTGTGTTTTGTAATTTTTTGTTGCAGTTCTTTTGATACTCTGGGATTGTGGGTTTTTTTCAGAATATTTACTATCACCAAAACAAAATTTGAGTCGTCTTAAGTTGTTAAAAAGTTATTGTAGTTTATTATGAAAAGTGTATAGTAATGTAAAAATTAAAACAGGGTACCTAGTGGTCTCAAAGGCACTCGACTACGTCTAGACTCCACAGTTTTGAACTTTTCTTTTTTCTTTTTTTTAGCAAATCGGATTGAAATCAGAATGTGGCACTGGAGCCGACCGACAGCCATGTTAATTGGCAACGCTGCCGGCTGAAGTGGCTATGAAAAGGGGTAGTGAGGGAGCAGATATTGAAATCAAATGCGTTTGAGCACGAAGGCCTCGCCATGGTCTGTGATAGTCTG